AAAACTAATTCAAGATGGTGGACAGAAAGTCGTGTCCATTAGGGAATAAATTATGCCAATGTTCTCTGTGTGATCCAAGGAATCTGAAAGACCACTCTCATGACAATAGAATATTCAAGTGGCCAAATTCTGACTGAGGAAAGTCTGAGCTGGCCAGTTTTTATTAACAAAAAAGAAACACCCTTCACAACAGGCTGGCTACGGGCCTGAGTCAGCAGCAACTGCCACATAAAGAGTCCAAAAAATCATCCACAGGCAAAGAAAAATGAATGCCCGTGTTTTATGATGATACATTGAGGTTTTATTAAGTAAAATGATTGGTCTGTGCAAGAAACTATTATTATTACTTTAATCCGCAGCCCCCACAAATCATCCTGACCACATTCTGAAATTTGGGCATTATTGAGATTAAATTTACCTCATGTAGACCAAATACTCTAAATAAACCGATGCAATTCACCTCAAAATTGTAGTGTCGCATTATAACTATGCGATGTGCAAATTTACATGTGAACTGATGCTCTGTGGTTATGACTTGTGCTTTATTGTTTATTAAAAAAGCTATTTGTGTTTATCTTGGATATTTCCACTTGGATGGATATTACCTTTCTTTCTACAATCTCAATCAGTAAGAATAACTTTAGAGATTCCCAACCTTTCATATTGTACAACAGAGCACCACATGACCCACAGTTTCAGCCAAACATCTTTAATGTTTTGCTGAGAAAAACTGTCACCTACATCTTGGATGGCCTGAGGGTGAGTAAATAACCAGCAAACCCTCATGCCTTTAAGCAGGAAAACCAAATTTAACTGTGAAAATAGCAGGAAAATGTTAGTTGAGGAACAAAATCAGCAATTGTGTGACACTGAAGACTTTGAAAATGGCTGCTGGAAATACAGCGGGGTTTAAATGATTCGAATCACCAGGTTGATACGTTTGACTTTGGCAGATGTAATTTGTGCCAAGTCCTCCTGAACAGCACGAGGGAGCGCTAGCTGATGCTGGACATTAAGAAGCTATCAGTCAGCACTCTAGTCTAAAGATGGGCCAGAAGAAGGGGGGTAAGGTATTGATTAAACCCAGCTTGTGCTCCCGCAATCTACACAACCCCATAACCAAGCCTGACGGCAATAGAAATAGCCTGAGCTGGGAGGAAAGCAGGTTTCAATGTCCTCATGCCAAAAATTCCAAAAAGTCATATATAATATAAATTGATATAATCATCCGTGTTATTTATTTATTTTTTGTAAGGCTTTGCAGAACTTACAATGTATTCTTAATGAAGATTTAAGAGTATAACTTGTCCTTGCTGAACAATAATATAAAAGTTTAATTTAGAATAGGACAAGGCAGTGGCGCAGTAGGTAGTGCTGTCGCCTCACAGCAAGAAGGTCGCTGGTTCGAACCTCGGCTCAGTTGGCATTTCTGTGTCGAGTTTGCATGTTCTCCCTGTCTCAGCGTGGGTTTCCTAAACAGTCCAAAGACATGCGGTACAGGTGAATTGGATAGGCTAAATTGTCCGTAGTGATTGTGTGTGTGTGTGTGTGAATGTGTGTGTGTGGTACCAGAGATGGGTTGCGGATGGAAGGGCATCCGCTGTGTAAAAACTTGATGGATAAGTTGGCGGTTCATTCCGCTGTGGCGACCCCGGATTAATAAAGGGACTAAGCCAACAAGAAAATGAATGAATTTAGAATAGTTTAATAAAAAATTCATAAATACACTATACATTTGTAACAAAATCTTTACACCATATATAGGTCAAAAATGAGATATCCTATTTGGTATCTGTCAACATCAATTTAGATCATTTATTTTTTTATACATGGAAAGCATATTATACGTGCAAGCACTTACTTGAATGTTGAGAATAATTCTGTTTAAGAATAAATTGTCAAAATAAGTGTCAAATGAATAGCATCATAGTTATTTGGGTGTAAAAATTTAATTACACTGATACTGATTAAAATATCTGAAATAATAAATGAATACAGTCAATTTATTGCAGATTAAATAATGCGTCCTAAACTTCCTTACAAATACATGTATTAAAATCTGATGAAGGATATGCATCCTCAAAATTTTTTTATTCTAAATATGCCTAAAATAATTTTTTATATAAATTATTATTCAGAGTGTGTTTTATGTAAATTAAACAGGGTAAACTCTAGATACAATAATGAATAAAGCTACATTTTACATTCTTTTCTTGATGAAAAGCTTTAATTTGTCACATTGATACACGATCCCTTGACAAAATTATTATCTAAGGCCACTTGTCCTTGAACACAAGAGTTCTATCATATTTTAATGCTTCTCCTGAGCCCATTTAATTAGTCAAATATGCTATATATTATCATTTTGATGGACATTTATGGAATAAAATATTACAACTATATATTTTGTGTCTTTTAATTTACTCAAATTATTTTTCTGGCTCAAAATGAGGCAGAGGTGGAATCCTGATGATTACATTTTTGCTCCATGAAACAAACACATTTTGCATGATTCTGGTAATCTTTTCAGGTAAAACATACCTTATTTAAGAAAAAAGTCTCAAATTAAATGTAATAAAATGCATAAGCAGTTCACTTGGGGTCTGTCGATAGTCATGACTTCCTGACAACAGCTGGGGGTAATACAAAATTTGATAGAGGTGGCTGCCTTGTAATTTATCATGACATAATTTATATCAACTATTCATGTTATGTTTATTCATGTGTTCAAAGTGTACCGTGAACAACTGGCTAAATAAATACACATGAGCAAACTGCCCTTCCCCCACTAGCAAAAAATGGCTACTAAGAATAAAATTGAACAACAACAGCAAACACAAAAATCACACCTCAGCTATGGCACAGTGTGCAATCATGCATGCGTCTAAAAGGCATGAAAAAGCCAGTGCCATGTCCTGATCCCGCTGTCTCTGTCCCCAGTGATTTCCAGTCTCTCGCAACTTGTTCTGTGCTTAAAGGCATGAACAGCACATAAATAAACATTAAGAGAGAAAAAAAATATCACCAAAACTGCACCAGCAGCTCACGTGCCTCTCTTTTCTAATGCATTCCCACCTATAGAACACACAAGAATCAGATCTTACAGAATTTTCCAAAAAAACAACATTCAAAATTCTGACACGTCCCTATTGAGGTGGAATCAGCTGAGCGTGAATGCAATGAGTTATGAGTCTGGGGTTCGTCCATCCCAGTCATGACAAGCAACAAAGCTGGATCTCCCTTCTTAATACATCCACTCCAGCAGCTCATGGCTAAGGGCAGGCTTGGAAAATACCGCATGATCTGAGGCGGTGGGATTTCGACACGCTGCCAGCACAGTTGTGAGCAGCTGCAGCGATCGGAATGGTCTGATGAAAGGAATACACACAGAAAACAACGCCAGCCACACTGGAGCATGTCCTCTCCATAAGATCAATGCACATTTCCTAATTCCCTTTTGTGGACCCCAATATAGATAATCAACCACTGTATTCTAATACTGAGAAATGCTCGTCTCCCAGAGTGCTTCAAACGTGTGTAAACAGCCCACTGTGGTCGGATGATGGCACTTCAGCTCTAATAAGATGTTCACAGAAGATCCCTTTCATGCTTCTGTCTCCTCTGCTCATATCATCTTCATACCAACAGGCGAGTAGGACTTAATCAAGTGGAATAGCTGAAACTGATAAACATATCTATCCCTCGCAGGCAAAGCTCTGCTCCTTCGCTCTCACATATATAAGATTACATGCAATACAGAAGGAAATCAGATAATGTAGCAAGCAACAGGTTCTTTAACATATACTGTACACAAAGAGGTCAGAAAGTCTCAGGACATACCAACAAGCCAGGATGTAAAATCTAACTGGCAAGAAAGTGAAAGATTTAGATGTTATACAATGAATTACAATGATTCTGAACTATTTTTAGTCAAATAATCAAATTTGGGACATGTGAACTCCTCTGAAAAAAAGGTCAGATTTTCCAGCACCGAAAAACAAGATGCCCTTTGGAATATCTTCAAAATACACTGCTTGACATGGATTATTAAGATTTTTTTTAAATCATTGCTCTTTTCAATTAAGCCTTACACCTAAAGTGTTAGTATGTTTATGAAAATTTAATTTATAATTAAAGGATCTTATAGATTTACGAAGCATTTTCGGTAAAGCTCCCAGACTTTTAGACTCCACTGTATATGAGAGACATTGTGTTTTATAATTTGACTGTATTGTAATGGTCTCACATATCTGGCAACTGTTCCTTCATCGCTCAGCCTGCAGTATAAAATAAAGCCCTGTAAACTGAGTTGTTTGCTTACGTGCTTCTGTTGAAGCGATCATGCCTTGGGTTACATTCTCCTGACACGTCTTTGCACATCAAAAAAACGTGGGTTATTATGATATTTAACATCTTATATCTTGTTTTGTTACACAATACAAAAAAGACAGCCATGTTTTGCCGGTGTCTTATGTAACTCCGGGGAAGAGGGAGCATCAAAACATAGAGCACAGGGAAGCATGTTACATAGGTGTTGATTTAGCATATAAGACCTGCTTCTTCTCAGTTTCCAACATTGCAATGAACTACCTATATGAACTGTATATATATTTACAGAGACCAGTTATCAATTATCTGTATTAATAATTTAAAGTGTTTATGTGTGCTTGAGTAAAATGTCATATAAAATGTTTTATTCTGTAAACTACTGATAATATTTCTTCCCAATTTGAAATAAAAATATATGACGTGCTGGCAAATATAAATACATGCATGTTTGTGTGTGTGTGATCTATGATCTATGCCAAACTGACAACAACAGCTGTTAACAAGCGAAAGACAATCTGCTTACATGTAAGTGTTTTTAAATTCTTAGCATACTATATCTTTAAACAATTACTACATATTGTAATAAAAACATCTATAAAACCTCTATAAAATTATAAGATATTTGCCTGTCATTACAGTACACGGTTATCTCTCCCAGGAGGACTTCACACCTGCATTCCTCAGTTTCTTGTTCCTGTAGACGGACAAGATGACCAGCAGATTTCCAACGATATCAGCCACGGTGGTGAAGATCAACACGCCGGCGAGGGTGGCCGCGACCCCGGGAGACGTGCTCCTGGCGGTGAGACAGTTGTTTCCCTGGGATAAACTATCCAGACAGCTTAAGTTCGCCTTTGTCATCGCCATTCTTATGGAGCAGTGTAACGACACATTAAAGTTTCCCCTTTGCTCCACTCTTCAAGAAAAAACGGCAAAGTTGCCGCGAACAGGTATAGTCGTGCACCTTCCCGAAAACAAATCCAATCCATTCCACTTACAAAATGTCACTGTACTCATAGAAAATCCGTTTTCATGCAACTTCCAGCGCACGATAAATTAGCCTATGCCACAGTGGATTTCCCAGTAGCTCCCATTAAATTCAATGAATGTTTGGTAGTCGGTGCATTGTCAGCCCCACAGTTATCTGGACTGTCACCTCGGATCACAGTGAGTCACACACACACACTCCGGGCTGTTGCTCAAACGCCACACTCATCTCAGCGGCAACATTGGCGACGGTCTGCGTCGCATCCCCGGAGCCCGGAGCCTCTCGGTCTCAAGCGCGCAGTCAACTGTTCAGAGCCAGTCCGGCAGCGACTGTAACGAGTTGAGGATTCTAGCCCTCCGCGTCTGCGAATATCTCAAACTGAGACTTTGTTCTTTAAAAGCGTGAGTTTAAAACATAGTGTAAGCGAATGGTGTCCTATGTTTTCTTAAAATGTTTAAGCAGAAAACATACATTAGCTACAGTCCGTCGGAGCGCATTTTCATCTGGAGCTTTAAAAAAACTAACGAACTAAAGTCGCGACTCCAAGTAACCATAGCAACAGTGTTCAGCTCAAACGCTTCTTCTTCCAGTCAGGACCTGTAGGCTATGTATCATCCATCGAAACCTTTTCTTCTTCGTCTTAACTGAGCAGTTTATTTGCCTTAAAGGGAAAAAAAGAGTTTTGGAGTGGTCGATTTACAAATAAATAAATATATCAGTAATTATTTTGAGTGAGTATACAGCCAGAGATGGTCTGAGTTGAGATGGAAGGGTCCTCGGTTCTACAGAAAAGGGTATGTAATGACCCACTTGGGTGTGCCTCTATATTATCCAATCACATTACTTTGCAGTATACTCTGATTCACATTTAGTGGACTTTGAAGTGTATTCACATGGTATCTGCTTAAGTTGTGATGTATGGAACAGCTCGTTGTCTCTACCTACAGCAAGATATTTTTGGCTTTCATTGTTTGATAGTAACTTATTTATTGGGTTAAGGCTTGGAAGTTGACTAGTAAGTTTTGCATATATAACAAAATTAAAGAAGTGTCGTAGAAAATACTCCATAGAATCTATCCTGCTAAACATGTTTTGGAAAGATTTAAACTTAATATTTTATATGTGTGTGATTTTTGAGAAAAAGAAACAGTTTTGCATCTTTTTTTTATTGTATTTACTCAATAATATTTAGGAAAGATTTTGAATTGCTTATTAAAAAATGGAGTATAAAATAGAAATTATTTTATTTCATGTACTGTTTTATTCTAATAATGAGAACATATTTTTAATTTGTTTATGCTGTTCGGAAAATACCATATACATAAGAAAAAGTGGGCTCAATGTAAACCAAACCTTTCCCATTTTGTAAATGACTTAAAATTATATGTAAATCTATTAGAACAATCACAAAAAAACATGTACTGCTCTGAAAACATTTAATTTCATGTAAATGTAATTTTACTTTATTTTATTTTATTTTTATTTTTTTCAGAAAAATATGTGACATGTAATACCTCTTTTTCTTGTGGCATTGAGTTAATACTACTGCTACTAATAATAATAATAGTAAAAGTGTATGGAACAGCTTACTGTAAGTGTCTATTCATTTGAATGGGGCGTATGCACAGCTATAGTGTTTTTTAGCAAATGATAAACTTCCGGTGAAGGTTTAACTTGACTATTTTCAATTTCATAAGGTTCCTTTTACAGCATCGATGTTGTACTGCAATTACAATACATTCAGTTAAATAGACTTAAACATTCATTAGTTGTTCAAGGTACGAAATGAAAAGGGTGTAATTGCTAGTGCCGTCACGATCAGCGGGCGAGCGCCGAAACTCCATTGAAAATACTGGGTTTAAATAAACAAAATTAATAAAATAATCATATTTTAAAGAGATGCGGGGAGAAAATGGAATTTAATGCATTGCTTCTTGTTTAGTCCTGATAGATATCGTATATCAGGCAGTGAAGATCACTGATTTTTAAAGAAATCAGTCCTTAAATGTGACACTTTAATAATAGAAAGACAGTTCACCGGAAGCGCTGAGGCTGGCTGGCTGAAATTGAAAGTCTGTTTGCATATACCCCATTGAGAAAACATTGGCTGTGTCCAAAATGCTTATGCATTTCACTTGTTGGCTCACTGTCCTATTAGGCAGGCACTTTGGAGGCAGCCTTTGTGCATGAAGGCACCTCATAAAACTGATTCAGACAGACTCATGAGACAGCAGGACAATTTATTCATGTACAAGTGGACATTACAACAAAACAGAGAGAGCAATGGTAATATTTGCTAACTAACTTATTGCCACATGAACAAAAACTTATTTACACACAAAAGGACACCCTGCAGAGCTTCATCTTAGCTTGTGTCCTCTTAGCTTGTGTCAGAAATCCAAGATTGTGGGATATCAAATGCAGTGAAAGGTAGGCAAACATCATTCTGTCTTCAGAATTAATTCAGAGGAAAGTACCTCTGGAGAAATGAGAAGATACAGAATTTGGATTCGGACATGCGTTGATGCCTTTCTGCATTGAAATGCTGCCTCCAAAGGCAGTGCATCTGATAAAGCCTCTCAGTAGTCATCAATGACTACTGTTCAGTCATATTACAAGTCTTTTACAAAATCATTGCATCAATAAAATCTTAAAACAGTACTTTCAGTTTCACAGACACTAATATTTAAAGGATTTATAAAAATGTTTCAGGCGTCACAGTGGCTCAGTGGTTAGCTCTGTCCCCTCACAGCAAGAAGTTTGCGGGTTTAAGTCTGGGGTGGATCAATTGATGTTACTGTGTGGAGATTGTATGTTCTCCCTGTGTTCACATGGGTTTCCACTGGGTGCTCCAATTTACCCCACGGTCCAAAGACATGCAGTACAGGTGAATTGGGTAAACAAAATTGGCCTTATTGTATGAGTGGTTGTGAATGAGAGAGCATATGGGTGTTTCCCAAGGGAACTAAGCCGAAGGAAAATGAAAGAATGAATGTAAAATTAATCAATGCCTGAGCATGATGATGTTAGTCATGGATATAACAATTACAATTGTGAATTAAATCAATAAATTAGTACAATGTATTGAGCCTTCCTTCCTGGAAACTGCGGCTCATGACAGCAGAATTAGGTTGATTCCATCATCTTAAGTGAGATTCATGAAGAGCAATACAAATGTTAGGGAACAAGGGAGGATTGATTCCTCTCCTCCAATCACTATAATTAATTAATTAATTTTGTATATAGTTAAAGGTCGCTGGTTCAAGTCCCAATTGGGCCATTTGGCATTTCTGTGTGAAGTTTGCATGTTCTCCCCATGTTCGTGTGGGTTTCCTCCGGGTGCTCCGGTTTCCCCCACAGTCCAAAGACATGTGCTATAGGTGAACTGAATAAACTAAATTGACCATAGTGTATGAATGTGTGTTTCCCAGTACTGGGATTGTGGCTGGAAGGGCATCTGCTGTGTAAAACATTTGCTGGAATAGTTGGCGGTTCATTCCGCTATGGTGACCCCTAATAAATAAGGGACTAAGCCGGAGGAAAATGAATAAAAAGTTAGGTTTAGCTGTTACACTTTTCAGCCTGAAGCTAGACTTTTTAAAAGATAAAGCAATAAGTTCCAAGATGTTCTGGTTTACTGTGAATTTATAACAGCTAAGGGGCATTCTCAGGCACAAGCTTAGTTTATTGCTTCTATAGAACAGTTTTATATGCGTAGCTGGGTTTGACTAAATAAAACAAAGCAAATAAAACAGTTTTTTGGCTTAACAATAAGGAAATATTTGCCAAGCAACAGTCACATGTGTATGTTTGTATAATATTTTACAACAATTTAAAATGCTCAACCACTCAGAATCAAGGACTATAACCATCTGTTTTGTAAGCTGTAATGTGATTGGTAATAAAAAAAGACATATGTGATCCAAGTTGGAATGCTTAAGAATCTAGCCAGTTGGTCATTCATTTTTTTAAATTCTATGAACTCAAACATACTACATCTTTTACACAAATACAGTAGGTCATTCATTTAATGAATTCTATGAACTCAAACATCCTACATCACATACACAAATACAGTTTTGTCTCTTTAAAGTAAAAAAAGTGAGCATAAGAAGAGGCAGGGATGTGCTTCATCCCAGGTCACATACTTATACCATGCCCTAACATTAGACACTTTTGTTTCTAGAGCAGAAGAATAAACAAGACATACTGTCACAGCAAAATTGCATATTTAACAGACACTCTGATGCAGTCATGCACATCCTGTAAAATAGCTGTCAGTCATCAAGTCACCGTTGAAATCTTCCACATTTAATTTAATTTCCTTCCCCGTTGAAAAGAAAAGAAGCATACTGATTTTCAGTCTTTTATGAGGAGAACTCTCTTCATATTTTGTCATGATGCATTTGAGGGCTAAACAGATCTTTGTTGTTGCAGATAAAATATATATCACTCAACATTAAATAAAAATTTGACATTTATAATATTGTGAATTTGGATTATTAATCATTCATGAAATTCTTTAAACCTCTCCGAGACAAATCACCCCCATTTATCATTAGAATGTGAACAGCAGTATGTCTGGGGGGCTTTTATAACCTTTTCAAGTATAATAAGCTTTGGGACACACTGGGTGAATCTGAAATGACATACTCTCTTGAGTAGGTTCTTATTTTGAAAAAGTAATTACTTTGCAACCAACCTGTAAAAAATATGTGATACAGTGCATCCAGAAAGTATTCATAGATCTTCACTTTTTCCACATTTTTTATGTTACAGCCTTATTCCAAAATTGATTAAATTCATTTATTTCCTCAAAATTCTACACACAATACCCCATAATGGCAATGTGAAAAAAGATCTTTTGAAATTGTTGCAAATTTATTACAAATAAAAAACCTGAAAAACACATGTACATCAGTATTCACAGCCTTTGCTCAAAACTTTGTTGATGCACCTTTAGCAGCAATTAAAGCCTCAAGTCTTTTTGAATATGATGCCACAAGCTTGGTACACCTGTCTTTGGGAATTTTTGCCCATTCCTCTTTGCAGCACCTCTCAAGCTCTATCAGGTTTGATGGGAAGCGACAGTGTACAGCAATTTTCAGATCTCTCCAGAGATGTTCA